GTGTGTGTGTGTGTGTGTGTGTGTGTGTGTGTGTGTGTGTGTGTGTGTGTGTGTGTGTGTGTGATGTAACAAGAATTTTAGTAGAAATTGCTAAACAAATCGATCGAAATTGAATGACAGTTTTCTCGTGCAGCATTTTTAAATCATATTGTATGTAGTACAGTTATAAATTATAAAATTATGATATAAAAAGTACATACCTTCTTGCATAAAAATTAATCCAGTCATCTCTTTTAGTTTATAATGCTTTATTGTAATTATTTTTTAAATATATAATTTATGATTATTATTTTTTTTATAATAGTTTGAAATTTTAGAGAAGACTTGACATATTTTACATTTTTAAAGAAATACTAATTTTTCTTTTCTATACATTAAGTATCAATATTATAAATTATATGAATTTTTGATAGCTTTATACACTTTGTTCCTTGTTGAAGATAAATATAAAAATATAAAAATACTACTTATTACATAAACCCACAATATCCTTGAGTAATGTGCGTTCATTTATATCATATCTTTTCGTACTGAACATGTTGCTGAAATCTTGAGAGGAAAGCTTAATCTAAAAAGGATTAATCCGCATTCAATTAGTAGATTTTTGCTGAAGGTTGAAGTTGAGTGGTTCACGATAATACATCTTTTATTAAATATTTACAATATAAAGATGGGATCAAAGATATAATAATTAAATATATTTATGATGTTTTATAATGATGTTTTGCTATAAAAATTTTAAGTTTTTATCAAAATTAAACTTTTTAACAAATCTAGTTTTACACTAAGAAGATAGAAATTGTATGATCAGATATTAAATCTTCTCTAATGAGAATAACAAGAAAAAAGAGATCATTCATTGCCAAGTAATAAAAATGATGAGATAAATTGTTTGATATATTTTATTATATTTTATGATAGAATGGACATACGTTTATAAAGAAATATTAATAAAACAAAATGTTTTAATTTCTGTTTGTAATCAAATAAGAACAATTATCGGATTGTCTTGAAAATTATTGAATATAGATTTTTTTCACAATACGGATTTGTGAAAAATAAAGTATAAGTTTTAATAAATTAATACTACTTGTACGAATGTTCTTATATGAATGAGACTCTTATTAATTTTCTTGTAAAATATTAATCATACATGTATTTTCAATATTCCTACTGATACTTTTATCAATATATCTGATGACAATTTCATAATATACGCATATTTCTGTCCTATCGAATTCTAGAATGTATCATATTTGCACATCAAATACACATAAAATATGTAAAGATGCATCGATATTAAAAGGCAAGAAAGATAAAATAAGCAAATACAGCTGATATTGATGAAAGTTGATAATCACAATTATAATTAAATTTGTTCTCGATTTAAATGTAATATTAATATTTCAGTGTCTTTTTAATTATGCAGAGAAAATTTTCTATAGGAGAATTAGCCATTACTAAAATTGAAATTTCTTATATTTATGATTTCATATATGAAATAGTAGTGCAATTTATGCTTATTTTGATTATTAGTAAACTTTTATGATCACACACACACACACACACACACACACACACACACGTGCGCGCGCGCGCGCGTGCATACACACAAAGTTTGAGAATATTATTAATGAGCTAGTTTGCCCACACATTAGCTTAGAAGGTCTCTGCCACTTATGGCTTCAAACATTGGTATTCGTTGCAGAAAATCCATTTGCTAATTGGAGAGTTCTGCCATTTACGAAATCAAATATGAATGGCGAGTAAGATTGGTTTACAAATTAGCATTTCGTCACTAAATCACATTAATGAATTACTATTATGCATCATCAATCAGATTCATTGACATATATGTGTTGTATAATTATCGTATTTGGATTTATGTGCATGCTGCCCTAGACCTACAGGTATTTATCACATACAGAATTTCTTTATACAAAAGATATGCACAATAAAACAAACTTTTATTTCATAATAAGAAATAAAACAAAAATTTTTATATTTCGTAATAAGAAATAACTAACTTTACCTGTTACGTTACCAAAAACTATAATTTTCTTTTAAGCTTACATAATCATTTTAATAATTTTATTAATAATTAATTTTACGTTTGTATCGTATTTATTTGTCGATAAATTTAAAAAATACGCAAAAAAATAATAATATTTTCTTACTTTTTATATCTTTACAAAAGTCTCTATTATTTTACTTACGTTCTTAAAACGCAAATGTTCAGTTTTGACTCATTTTTACGAGCTGACTGTAATTTTATGGACGGTTGGTAAGCATGATCCCAAGAGTAAGCCAAAAACTTTCTTGAAGCTGCTTTAGTCGACTCGTCTCTCTGCTGTCCAAACTTGATTCATCTAACTTCGTTCGATAAAGTTTGTCACCGGAAAAGACATGAATTTTGTTATTGATGCAAAAATTTGAAGAAATCATCTAGCATGTTTGCAGTTTGTTATTTCGATCAAAAGTTTACGATAGAACGCGACAGCTGTTTCAAAAACGTGACGTTACCAATGCGTGACGTCAGCTTGTTGACTAAAAGAGGAGAAAACGTAGATTTTCTGGTCAAAGGCCATGAGCGTCACAAAGCAGATCGTGGAGAGTGCATCGAGTTATTATTGAAAAAGTTATATAATTTATCCACGCGCCGTTGACAAAGCCAATTCATATTTCCTCCCCTACTTTGGTCGAATATTTTAATTGTCGGCAGTCTTTCTTGTTCTTCGCCTCATTATGCTTTCCTTTACGCTAGTAGAGCTGGCTTAATTGAACTTTCTACTTATTCTTCGTTCGTGCAGAAAAATCCATATAAAAAGAGTAGTCCACGTTATATGAGTTCAATAACTTCAAAGATTTATTACTTATATTGTAACCTTAATTGCCATAGAAAACCGAAATAAGAGATTCTTATTGATGTTTATAATATTATTCTATACGACTCATCCACAAGATAGAAATTGATTATCGCTGCAGAATTAATCGGTTTGAGTATTTGGACTGATGACAAGAAATAAGACCAGAATTATTGCGCTTAAAGAGAATACTTAGTCTATACTTATGATCAGATCGATAAGAAAAAAAAACGAATCAGATCGGGGCCAGCTTCTGAAAGCGGTACCGCAAATTTAATTTTTAATAACGAGTCTGGATTTGTACAATCTCTTCTATATCCTCTGCTCGTCTTCTGCTTTCTATATACCACTACTTGAACGATTCTCTGCAAAAAAAGATTATTATCGTATGACCTAGATTGCTTTAGTATGCAGGTGACACTACTTGGGAAAGAGAAACTCAATTTCTGAAGAATATGTTCGGGCATGATGTTAATCTGTAAGCTATTTCTCTCGAATAAATAAGATTCTCTCTTATGCTTTGTGCATATCTCGATTAACACCTGAAATATTCAAACGGTAAAATATAACAGTAAAATGTTTCAATTTAAAAGAAAATCAAAAATTATTTAACACAGATACTTTGATAATATTTTACTTACAATATTATAATATTTAAATTAAAAATATATCATAACATGGGATGTAATATATTAGAATAATAATTTGATTTGTTAATTAATTTTTTAAATTAAAAATTCTGTAAAACTTTATCCAATACCTAACACGCTTAGTCAGAGTTATTGATAATAACTGATCCGCTTTTCAAGTTTCTCCTGGGTTATCAATTTGGATTATGTAATCTAGAGTAATAATTTAACGTTATCGAAGGATTGGAAATTAGCTGAGGGAAATGAGCCACTCTGCCTTGTATGAAATTTATAGAATTAATAAACGATGGATTAATTGTAGGTAAAAGAATTTTAAAAAATTTGTAAAACAATTTATAACATTTAACAAAAAATTTTGTGTAATTTATTTTTATCATTTTTTAAAATTATATTTCTATTATTTTTTCAACCTAACCAGTTTTCGAGCTTTTATTTTTTATTATCTATTGATTCTTCTTTAGACAGAGAGTTAAATTTGTCTTATTTTTAGATCGAATCAGTCTACAGACATATATTTTCCATTATCGTTTTCGTGAATATACAACATTGATCAAATTTTGTTTTATATTTAGAATGCTGACAGGTTTAAATTGTACACAAATCGTATTTACATATTTCATGTGCATCTATTATTAAATATTAAAATATCTTATATCAAATTTGTTTAAGAATAATATTGCATTTGTGTGCGTGCGCGCGTGTGTGTATGTGCGACTTTTACACAATTGTATAAATATTAAATAGTATAGTTGAATAAATCTTTATTGTAAATTAACAGTTAACGAAATGATTGTGTGAGAATTTTATTTTTAAACAAAGTATTATTCTTAAAAATATTTATGAAAAAATTTTTGATGTTTAATACAGTATTTTTACAGAACGTAATTGATTTAAAATTAGTAAAAAGATATAAAAAATATAATAAGTTTTAGATTTTGTAAAAGTATAGCTTATTTTATTCTATGATAGTTA